GGGTGGTTTTTTTGTTTCTTGCAGAACTGTCATTAGTCAAGTAAACAAATTTATTAAGTCCAACAGCAGGTTACCTTCCAAATAAAAAAGTAGACAATAATGTGTGTAACAAGTTAATAAAAATATTCAAGGAGCCATTTGGAGAGTGCAACAGTGCAGAGAATACAAATCAAAGTATTGACTTTTGTCAACAAGTTTGTACAACTTCAAGAAACAGATACGCTGGTCACAAACCAAGAGGAATCCACAAAGGTGGAGGGTCACATGAGTAGTGGACTCATCACCTCAGCGGGATAAGGCAGGGTATCTTATTTGTAGGACCAGTTTATCCAAGCCCCATTTGCCTATTGCTTCAAATCCCTCCTTTGAAACCTAGTATCATATTCATTAGTGCAACAGGTAAGAGCAATTAATAGCAGGCTCAAGGGGCTAGGACCAGGGTCAGAAGGAAGACACTTCTCCCAGAATAAATGTGTTGGGGGGAAAAAACCACAGCAGCTGCTGGATGGCTTCCTTTGGCAATATGCAAGATTTATGCTGAAAGTTGTAGGGAAGGTAGGTGGTAGAAGAGCAGGCTCAGTTTTCAAAGAGAGGAATAGGGAGAAGGATATGATAACTCCAGCACCTGAATCAGAAACAGAATCTGATGGTTACTCAATATTGTTTTTCAGTGAGGAAAAACACCTGCAGATTCTCAATGTAAGGCAGTGCTAGTCAAGGTTAACCTGGATAAATGCTAATGATTACAACTTAACAAAGGTGTAAACTCTGAATGGGAAGTGGGTGGGAAACCCCTCTATATGATTCAGAAAACTGTGGAGTAAGAGGAGGATCAATGTTACATTTCTCAAATGAGTCCCAATTAACACTTTAATGACTTAATAGTCCTTTTAGTCCATCTTGTTTAATCAAGGGCTTCCCAGGTGGTGCTAGTGGTAAAGAATCCACCTGCCAATGCAGGAGACATAAGAGACGCCGGTTCAATCCCTGGGTTGGGAAGATCTCCTGGATGAGGGCATGGCAACCCACTCCAGTATTCTTTCCTGGAGAATCCTGTGGACAGAGGAGCCTGGTGGGCTATAGTCCACAGGTCACACAGTGTCGGATATGACTGAAGTGAATTAGCACACGTACACATTTAAACAAGATACTGCTGAGTCCCCCAGGGAAAGACCTTTGTTAGCTACCCAGTTACCAAGGTGTTCAGGTCATGACTAACCAGACACACAAGAAAAGTGGCAAAGTGGGCTACTGCAGCAAAGCAAACCTAGCAGCAGCTTTCTTCCAGGCTTTATAACTGTCTGACTGGGTCTACCTTTGGGCTTCACGGCACTGAAGACTGACTGACTTTAAATGCAAACCAAACATGGCCCCAAATACAGATGTTTTGGTTTTTCAACTTTTATACCAGGTCTTTATCTAAGTAATTTCCCATCACTAATACAGTTTGGCATGGTTAGTATACTATATACGGCCATCACATAAACTATGGAGTCCCACACCCTGCAAGATCCATCACTGACTGAATTTTGCCACCAGTCCTTGGGAGATCTGTACTGTTTTAAGACCCACTAATAAATGTGTGGCTTAATCCTTTCTTCCTCTCCAAGAAAGCTAGTTTGTGCCTTCCTTAGGGAAGTTTAATATTGAAAACACTGCCTTGTACATTTTCTGTTGGATTTCCTTGAGCCTGAGGGCTTGGCTGAAATTTGGATCTTTACCTAGCTCTAGATTTTTTTTTCTTACCAGAAGGGTAGAAGTGGAATCTTGAACCACTCACACATGTGAGCACATCTGGCAGGGAGAACTGCTGAGGCAACTAGCCTAAGTATAGCAAAGTGTCATTACAGGATGCAGGGTTAAGAATGATACATTCACATTTGGCAGGTATAGGGGAAGAGCAAGGCAGTGAAGCACACTTTATCTCATATTGCTTTCTAATCAATTGCTAAAGAAATACCATAGAAGCTCACACACAAAACTGCTGCCAAAAAACAACTTCCCAACATACTCGGTTTGTTGTGGTCACTCTGGTATTTGCCTATTTTCAAAATGGCATCCACATCCTGCCCCTGACCACACCACCACACCACTCTGGTGTCCTATTGTTTGAAGTGTGCACTGGCTTACCTGAGGGGCATGTACTGACCTCTTCAACACAATTACTGCTCACTCATTAAGCAGCAAACCTATCTGTAGGTGAAGAGGAACAGGAACCTCTCATTTCCCAGAAGTATAACAGCAAACCCTATACACACACTCCATCTTGGATCCCTCTGCAGAAAACTGCTTTTCCTATAGCCACGAGAAAGTCAAGCATTGGTCCATGTGACTGCATAAGCTTGAATTCCTTGCATCAAAGACTCAAACCTAGAAGGAAACTAAGTCCCTCCCTAACCATTCCCTTTTCAGGCTTCTAATTTGAATTTGTGTAACAAACAGACCATTAAATATATAACCAAAAATATTTTAAATGGCTCTTTTGTTGATGAGGAAGCTGAGTGTTTTTTTTAAATCCGTCATAGCACACCTAATGCATGGAATGCTTTCTTGTAGGCTGGGGAAGGAATCCAGTTCCTCCAGTCCTTAGGATAACTCAGCATTTTGTGTCCTCTCCGTACCCCCTTCTGATCTGAGACAGAAAGAGTCTTACCTGGCTAGAAGCAGCTTGCTAGGTTAAGGTTTTAACCTTAACCTCTGCGCAATCCAGAACTGAGGAAAAATGGGGCTGTAAATTGACTGGATGAGATGGCAGTCTCAATACCTCAGTCTAGGTACCTTGACTTCAACTGAGCCCACGGAACCTGCTAGGACCTTTAGAAACTGTCCACAAGGATCTTGTGTCTTAGGCTAGAACAAAGCCAGATATCTGGACTGGGACCCATCAGCTTTCCAACAGTAGTGCTAACTACTGTGGCTAACTTTAGTTTCTCATCCACTCCTGTAAAAGGGGCAACTCTCAGGGTTCGGATTAAAAATATATATATATGTTCCCCACGTCAATACCAATTTTACAAAAACATTGACTGCAGAAACTCCTTAAATCATCTTTGTAAAGATGGGAGCCCAGAGCCATAGGTAAGTAATAAAAGAAATAAAAGAACTCAAAATAAGCAATTCCTGCCCAGGCTGAGAAACATACCTGGGAGGGAGATGGGGGGTAAGTTGAGGGAGAAAACTACAAATATTTAATAGACAAACTCTCACTGCCTCAAGAGTATAAATATTTTTATAAATTTTTATTTAAAAATTCCCTTTTCAATCTGTTCCAAAGTATTGGAAGCTGAACGGTACAAGTTCCTGCCATCCATCCTTCCAGTACAGTTTTATGAGGACATTTTTTTTTTTTTTTAATGGAAAAATAAGAGGACCCTCTACTAAAACCAGGTAGGACCAGTCAGCTCCTGTGTGGCAGTTTAGCCAAAGCTGGCCTTACAGAGCAAGCACGTGGAGGTGTCTAGGGAATTGGGACTCCCTCTTGTGAGGAAAAGACTGAGAAAATTCATCTTTAATGAAAATGATCTAAATTCATATTCAAAAGCCTTCATTATGATGCTCCCTGACACTCTTATACTTTGTATATTGAAGGCAGCTCCCTTTTATAGCTAGTTTTAGCAGGCAAAGAAACAAAGGAATATAGATACATATATGTGTATATATATATATATATTATATAGGTAAAATATATACATATATATGTATATATACATATTTGGGGGTAGGAAAAGGTGAGGAGGGTCATGTAAACCTAAATAGTCATCACATTACCCCAAATGAGCCTGACATTAACAAAGAAGAAAATAAATAACTCTGGGGGTTAAGTGACAACACGGGTGCAGCAAGAAGGGACAGGGCCTGCGTTTAACCATTAAATACACTATGTATTTGTTTGGCAGAGTTCAGGCCAACCCCAGGCTCCTGCACTTGCCAGACAAGTAAGCTGATGATACTCAATTAGGAAAAAAAAAAAAATTCAAGCAGAGCTCCATACCACAGTTTTCCTTCAAGTCAGTTGGCCGGCAGGCACAGTTTTCCGACCACCAGGAACAGAAACTTTGGCTCCAAAGCAAATGAAAAAAAAAAAAAAATAGTATTTCCACTTACAACATGAAAATACAGAAAATTCATCAAAGAAAGAAAACTATCAAAGTCTACTTCCAGCAAAACTGAGGTAGCACTGCTTTCTCTGCATTCAATGCTTAAGTGGTTCTCAGTACAATGTGTTCTAACAAAACTGCTCACTTGACTGACAGGTGCAGCATGTTGACGGATAAACTCAACATGAAATGAAATAGGTCAAAGAAGGAATGAGCAAGAAGTGAGAAAAATAAAAAGAGTTTCAGATAAATTAGCTTAAAAGGGGGTCATCACCAGACTACAAATGCTCTTGGTTGGCCTTGGCTCTCCAAGAGCTTTAAACTGCCTGGGAATTAATGCAATGTGGTTACCAGTTAACACTGCTAATTCAAAATTCAACTCTGTGTAAATCTTTAAAAAGTAATTATTACAACCTAAATTCAACCATGTAAACAGCACTACACACAGTACAGACCTGCCCTGAAAAACAAGAATATGCAAAACTGAGATCTGGCACTGTATCATTTTATAATGATAATTCAACCTAACTGTCCCATTCCCCACTACCTGCTCTACACCCTCCCCCACCAAAAAAAAAAAAAAAAAAAATCTAATTTGTGCAAGAAGTGGCAGGCTTATTCTATCTGAAGTCTTCAAAAAAAAAAAAAAAGATATACAACATGTAGCCAGGTTCAAATATTTTGGGGGACCCCTCCCCAAAAAAGGGAAATAACCAAAATAACCAAAAGTGAAGAAAGTGCCTAAAACATGATACAGCATTTTAGAGCCCTTTCAGATACAAGGCAGAGAAAGGTGTAAAGTAGAAAATATCCGGATCTTCAGTAATTTCCAGAAAGGTCCAATTCCTTGGTTGACTGCAGGGCAGCAGGCAGATCCTTGCTGCTGCTCCTGAGACAGAGCCACTAAGTCTGCTCCTCGGGACACAAGCCCTCGGGCCCTGAGCTGAGTGCACCTCTCCCTTCCCCTTCTCTTTTCCTTCGCTCCATTTCCCACTCCACAAAGGTATCGAAGAGACTTGGCCAGGCCTCATCTTCACTGTAGTTGCTGAGGTCAGGGCCAATCACCTGAGTGAAGTTAAGGAACATATTCCAAGTGTCCCTGGAGATGCCCTTGATCCCCGAGGGGTTCTCTGTTAAGAAGTTTAGCCATTGGTCCAATACCGGAGGATTGTTCTGGGTAAAGACAAGTTTCCACAGGGCAATGGCTATTTCTCGATGCAGTGACCGCTGCCCTTCTTCAGAGTCCAGGCCAAACTGAAATGTAAACCGGTAGAGATCCTTGAATTTATCCTCTTGTTTGGCTTCTGTTAAGAGGCTAGGGAACCGTGCACAGATCCCATCAATGCTGTCTGCACTTATTGCTTTGCAGCCGTCAAAAAATTCCTTCCTGCAATAGGGAGGAGGGGCATAATTAATCATTGTAAATGATATCATTTACTGAGAGGCAATATAGTATCATAATTAAGAGCATAACTATGAGGCTGTCGGGATTTGAACTCCAACTCCTCTACTAATTGCAATTCTACTTCATCTGCCAAATGGTAAGAATACTACCTTACTTCATAGGGTTTAACTAAACAAGTTATGTCAACTTCTAATAGTGCCAGGCACATGGTAGGCAGCTGATATCATTCATTCATCTATTCATCTTTCCAAAGCTAAACTCAAAGTCTCCTGCTCCATGCGGTTTCTCATTCTGCAATAGTGATTAAGCTGTAGACTTTCCTTGGAGATGGGAGGGAGTCTTCCTGTTTTCCTTTTGATTCTATAGGGGTTGTTTGTTTTGGGAATATTTTTGGTTACTGCCAAGGAAAATTTTTGGAGTCCAAAGATTCTGGATGAACCTGGGGAAACTGCCACCAGAGATCAAAATTCTGTTACTAAAAAGCAAACATTGTATGTGTATTTTTTAACATCTATATATAACACTTCTGGCTTACAACATGGTCTCACACTGATCATGTTCTTTGAGATTCTGTATGTTCTGAAGATAGAACATCTGAGGTCTGCTGAGTAACCTACCCAGGGACTAAAAGTTGTATCGAGGGGTTCTCAAAGTCAATTCTTACTTATAATCCAGTGCTCTGCAAACCACCCTTGTGGTGACCCTGCCATGCTGTCTCCCACAAATAATCTCTGTAGGGATGGATGCATGATCATAACAAAGTACTTAACTACTGGTTGACAGGACTTCCCAGGTGGCTCAGTGGTAAAGAATCTGCCTGCCAGCACAGGAGATATGGGTTCAATCCCTGGGTTGGGAATATCCCCTGGAGGAGGAAATGGCAACACACTCCAGTATTCTTACCCAGAAAATACCACAGACAGAAGAGCCTGGCAGGCTACGGTCCACAGGGTCACAAAGAGTTGGACATGACTAACTGCACGCACGCACTAGTTGATAACTGGGGCCAGCTGTCCTTACTGGAACACAGGGTGGCTAAGGGTATTATTCGGAGAGCTAAAAGGGGCAACAAGCTTCCTACAGTGACTAAAGCACATCCCCAGTGGCACTCGATGCCTGACACATGAGAGGTTACTGAGTAAGGAAGTGAGTGAACTGACAAAGGAGCGGAAGAAAAGACAGAAGTCTGAAATAGCAGTGGGGTGGGACAGCAACTTGGCAACATGGATTATTCATTTAACTTCAGGCAAGGATTGTTGATGCCCACTTCTATCCTGGCTGGGCACCACTGCTCAATGGTGCTCTTTTTCCTCCTCTGTTCACTTGGTGACACCAAGTATTTGTGACTAACCTGGTGAATTTGCACATGGTAGCAGCCTGGAACTTCCAAGCCAAAAGCAGCACTCGAAATTCCGTGGGGTCCACACATAGATCATTGCAAAAGCGCTCCATGCCTTCCTCCAAAATTGCATCCTCCCGTTCATCCTTATAGCGCCTGAACAGTTCTTCCAACCTCTGCAAAGACGACTCCTCGGCATTTGACTTGGGCTCCCTCCCAGCATCTCCGGAGGATGTTGGCAGCTGGCAGGCCTCAGGAGCAGCCTCTGCCTTCTTGGTCCCATTGACAAGGATATCTCCGCCTGGCTTGCCACAGGCGGGCAGCTGTTCCTCACGGTGGCTTGCACTCCGCCTACCATGTGACTTGCTGCTGGGGTCACGGTCTCCATTCTTGCTACCCAGAGTTGATGAGGGATTCTTGCACTTGGTGACACACTGGCCCATGATGCTGGTGGCCGGGCCTCTAGAGCGGCCCTCTCTGGATTGGATGCCCTCGTTGCCACTGGCCCATGTGCCTCAACATGCCATCAGTCAGAGGAGCCAGCCAACCTAGAAGAAAATTAAAGAGCAATCACCACTGAACAGGAAGACAGAGTATGCAAGCTCTTCTCCAGGGACTGCACAGTGCAACACCATTCTTGCAATGAGCCAACCATGAACTAGCGGAAGTACCCCAAGTTCCCCATCACCTTCCTCACAAGCCTATACCTTTACCTTGGAAATGCAGTGGCTAGGACACATATGGAGAACCAATAATGGAAATTCCTAAAATTCTTAAGGTAACATAGATCACAAAGAATTCATGTGCAGAATGCATCAGGAAGACTATGGGTTTGCCAGAAATATTCCAAAGGAAATTTGTCTTGCCAATTCGCCATAAGAAAGTTATTTGAACCTGTGTTAACACCAAAGGTACAAATAAAAGATTCATCTTCTAATCTCTAATGTTAAAATTCTCAGATTTTCTTTTTAAGTAGGATGAACAGGGAGAAAGAGTGGTCACATCCAAAATAACTATATATAGTTTCATAATGCCCTAAAGACGAGGTAAAGAATTTGCAAGCCCTTTCTCCACCCTTACCGTATCCACCTATGGGAGCCATCCACCAGGACTATATTCCATGCCAAGGGTCCCAGTCGCTGAGCTTCTTTTCTAAATACCCCTCCCAGAAAGGCAGTATGTAGAAGGAAAGTCAAGTTCACACTAAATGTGAATGTCCTATAGTGCCTGCAGGTTTATTAGTCTTCTAAGAAGGTGTCTCCATTTTAAAAGAAGGGCTGATTTACCCAAATACAATCTCTAAATGATAGGATGACCGCTAGATGAAAAAGAAAAGTCTGCACTAATACATAACATTATAGTGATTTACTTATTACTTAACTAAAAATTGTTTTATAGGAAGATTGCTAGAAATTTCTTGGCCAGGAAGGAGGTGATTTCTCTGGAGACACTTTATCTAATTAGACTCATTCTTACTTTCAACTAGTCTACCAGAAGATCCATCTAAAATTTAGTGCTTGTAAAATTCTGCAACCTAAAGAATCTGCCTGCAATGCAGGAGACCCCAGTTCAATTCCTGGCTCAGGAAGATCCCCTAGAGAAGGGACAGGCTACCTGCCCTGGTATTCTTGGGCTTCCCTGGCGGCTCAGACAGTAAAGAATCCATCTGCAATGCGGGATACCTGGGTTCAATTTCTGGGTTGGGAAGATCCCTCGGAGAAGGGCATGGCAACCCACTCCAGTATTCTTGCCTGGAGAATCCCCAAGGACAGAGGAGCCTGGCAGGCTACAGTCCACGGGGTTGCAAAGAGTTGGACACGACTGAGTGACTAAGCACAGCACAGCAGAGCATAATAATTGTAGCCTCTGAAATTATGTTAATAGAAACCTGGAACTATAGCAGGGAAAGTGGCCCAAATCAATGTCAGACCCATGTCTCACCAGCTCTAGAGCCATGGACCTTCACAATCCAAATTCAAAGCTCTAATAAGACTGGCAGTAGGGTAAAAGGGTGCTTTTAATGTAAAGTTGGAGCTTTAAACTTTAGCTAAAGAACTTTACTTCCTCCAAATAATACTTGCATAAATTCAGAGTTATCCTCAAAAGGAATTCTAAGGGTATGTTCTGAGTGTACAAGTTTAAAATGAAGACCATAATCATTCCCGTGTTCATTGGAATCACATAGTATCAGGGTGTGTCCCATTCTCCACCTTCAAAAAGAATAAATGACAGACATGACTATACATGCCTTTTTTGGATTTGCAGTTTCACTTAGGTTTAAAAACCACACTGAAGCCCCTTTAGAAGGGTTTTGGTGTGGAAAATGACAGACCCAAGTAAGTTTTCTGAAACCTTTTTATGCTTTTAGAATATAGCTAGTAAGCCATAGCACAACTTATTAAAATTGTAAAAGCCAAGGGGGTTAATTCGTGGAAGACCAGAATACATGAGAAGCAACCTGTTCAAGCTAAATTATCCAAAACAAACAGCACTATACCACATGGACAGTCTGGTTTCCAGATCTGTGTTTGTAAGACTGAAATGCTGAAAGAAACAAAAGGCCTAAACTTAAAAATTCCACATGCTCACAGACTGGCAACTCTAATTCCCAGACACGCTGACTCACCAGATTTTGCTGCTCAGTTCTTGCTGCTGAGGAAAGCCCAGGTATCTGGCATGATAAGAAGATTTCCTGGTTTCTGACTGACTCACCTACCCTAGGCCACTCACCTCTGCTCCCATTGGACAGATGCTATATTATGCCAGCTTCCTCCAAATCCTGGTGCCAAGGCCTTCAAGTAGGGACAGAACAGATGGACCTCTCTAAGAGGTCCTAATCCATTTACCCATTTACAAGCCCTCCACATGAGAGCATCTTTGATGACCTGACATAGCAGAACCAGCTGAAACCTGAGGCATTTTATAGCAAAGAGATAAAAAGAAAAAAAGGAGTGGGAAATCAGTTTAGACAGATGATCAAAGTGCCAGCAGGCTGGGTCCCTTCCTTCCATTCTGGTCCTTTCCTTTCAGGCAAGTGATGGTCTCAAGCCAGAAGGAAGTATTTACAGATCTGATGGTGAGTGTGGTCCCCTGATTACCTAATGGGCTCCCTTCTTTACTGTCTACCTCTTTCTTTGGGAAACAGTTCTGCACCAAGAGATTTCTCAGGTTCGATCAGGGGCTCCGCCCTATGTCACAGGATGGCCACACTTCAAGTGTTTTAAAGTTGCAAGCTTCCCTGGACACACTAGCTGTTTGCTAACTCCTAATAAGAACAATTATCAATTACTTAGCACTGGATAGCACATCATGCATTATACAAAGCACTTTATGGACAATAAAACTCATCATATATGCTTACCACAACTCCATTCAAAGACAGGAAAGTTGGGGTGCAAAGAAGATTACCCAGGATCACAAGCAGAACCTGATATGTCTGACTTGAAAAACCCCTGATACCTCAGCTGGTAAAGAATCTGTTAGCGATGCAGGAGACCCCGGTTCGATTCCTGGGTCGGAAATATCCATTGGAGAAGGGACAGCCTACCCACTCCAGTATTCTTAAGCTTCCCTTGTGGCTCAGATGGTAAAGAATTCACACAGGATGAGGGAGACCTCGGTTCGATCCCTGGGTTGGGAAGATCCCCTGCAGAAGGGGAAGGCTACCCACTACAGTACTCTGGCCTGGAGAATTCCATGGATTTCTATTGTATAGTCCATGGGGTTGCAAACAGACATGACTGAGTGGACTTTCACTTTCAATTTAACCACTAAGCTAGACTGCTTAACACACCTATGTCAGAAGCCCCTTCATAGATCACAGCATGGTTTGGTAAAGGGGCTTTGTAATGCAATGAAGCTATAAGCCATGCTGTGCAGGGCCACCCAAGATGGGCGGGTCATAGTGAAGTGTACTGACAAAAGGTGGCCCACTGGAGGAGGGAATGGCAAAACGAGCCAGTATTCTTGCCGTGAGAACCCCATGAGCAGTATTAAAGAGCAGAAACACATACCAGTGGAAGATGAGCCCCCCAGGTTGGAAGGTGTGCAATATGCTACAGGGGAAGAGCAGAGGGCAATTACTAATACGTCCAGAAAGAATGAACTGGCTGAGCCAAACCGGAAACAACTGTGGATGTGTCTGGTGGTGAAAGTCAAGTCCAATGCTGTAAACAATATTGCACAGAAATCTGGACTGTTAGGTCTATGAATCAAGGAAATTGGACGTGGTCAAGCAGGAGATGGCAAGAGTGAATATCATTTTAGGATCAGTGAACTAAAGTGGACAGGAATGGGTGAATTTAATTCAGGTAACCATTATATCTCCTACTGTGGCCAAGAATCCCTTAGAAGAAATGGAGTAGCCCTCATAGTCAACAAAACAGTGACATTGGTTCATTTCCAAGGCAAACCATTCAACATCACTTTGCCTCAATCACTGATGCTAAAGAAGCTAAAGTTGACTATGAAGATCTATAAGACCTTGTAGAACTAACAGCAAAAATGATGTCCTTTTCATCATGGGAAGTGGAATGCAAAAGTTGGAAATCAAGAGAAACCTGCAGCAGAAAGCAAGTTTGGCCTTGGAGTACAAAATGAAGCAGGGCAAAGGCTAACAGAGTTTTGCCAAAAGAACACACTGGTCATAGCAAACACTCTTCCAACAACACAAGAGATGACTCGACACATGGACACCACCAAATGATCACTACTGAAATCAGATTGATTATATTCTTTGCAGCCAAAGATGGAGAAGCTCTATACAGTCAGCAAAAACAAGACTGGGAGCTGACCGTGGCTCAGATCATGAGCTCCTTATTGCAAAATTTAGCCTTAAATTGAAGAAAAGTAGGGAAAACTACTAGACCATTTAGGTATGACCTAAATCAAATCCCTTATGATTATAAGGTGGAGGTGATGAATAGGTTCAAAGGATTAGATCTGGCAGAGTGCATAAAGAACTATATATGGGGGTTTATAACATTGTACAGGAGGCAGTGACCAAAACCACCCCAAGGAAAAAGAAATGCAAGAAGGCAAAGTGGTTGTCTGAGGAGGCTTTACAAATAGCTGAAAAGGGAGAAAGGGAAAAATATACCCAACTGAATGCAGAGTTCGAGAAAAAAGCAGAGAGATAAGAAGGCCTTCTGAAATGAAGTGTAAAGAAATACAGGAAAACAACAGGATGAGAAAGATTCTCTAAGAAAGAGAACTTCTCTTCAAAAAAAAATTGGAGATAGCAGAGGAAACATTTCATCCAAGAATGGGAGTGAATAAGGACCTAACAGAAGAGATTAAGAGGTGGATAGAATACACAGAAGAACTATACAAGAAAGGTCTTAATGATTCAGATAACTATGATGATAGGAGTGTAGTCACTCACCTAGAGCCAGACATCCTGGAGTGTGAAGTCAAGTGGACTTTAGGGAGCATTACTAAGAAC